CTCGTTGGCTAATTGGAATGAAGGGAAGGTAGGAGGGGGGGCAGGCAAATTGTAGCTTTTCCCAATGAGAATGGACTAACATTCGGGCACAGAGGAGACACTAAAAGCTGCTTCAGGAATGTGCACACACCTCTACATTCCTGCACCTTATATCTATGGGGTCAGTAGGGTTTTCTTTATTATTGTTAAAGCAAACGTCACGTGAAGCCAAGCAGCCAGGCAACCAGAAATTGCAGCCCTGTTATCTCTCTCATGACATATTTATCGAATTACAATGAACAAAATGAGACTTGCCTAAAAGAGGACCTGTCACCATGCAAACAGCCGTTTGAGTACCCTTAGATCAAAGTTGCCATTCTTCATTCACAGAGCAGTGTACCCTTCCCAGGACAGCGATGAGAAAAGCAATTTGCAGCCTGAGAGTCTGAGAACGGCAACTTCCACCTGAGGCTTCTCACTTCCACCCGAGGCATTTTGTGCCCATAGATTTCCTCTGATCAGTCAGTTGCAGTTTTTTGTTGCCTAACCTTTATGTTATCCACAGTACGTTTGAGGTGGTTGAGGGACTGTGGAATGACGTGGAGCCAGTTGCTGGCGGTGGTGTGTAGGGTTCTCATCCAGGCCGGGCGCCCGTCAGACGTGGAGTCCGTCCTCTGTTTCTTCTCAGTCTCCGCGTAAGCCAAGTCATCCTCATCCTCCAGCATTTGCATTTTCAGCATTTTACTGATCATGTCAATGCCTGAACCACAGAGGGGAGAAAGCAAAAACATGCGGGACAAAGTAAACTAAACCGAATCTGAAAGCACAACAGAAAGTCAGAGAACGGGGCGAGGACATTCGGGGCGACAGAGACATGAACGTGTGAGAGAGTGTGCAGGTTCTCTACCCAACGTGTGAGGGGAGTCATCTGCTTTCTGATGGATATTCCCCAAATCCCATTAAAGTATAACCACAGCTACAACCATTTTTGTTTTGTATAGAGCAAGAAAAGGGTCAGGACCTCTCTGGTCCCGACAACGCCATTCCGCAGGTCTACAAA